CAAACTTTGCCCCGGTAAGCTGAGGAGCTATTTTTATCAGAAAGATTAAAGGCAGCTAAAACTTACCCTGACAAAAGGAGTTGCTTAACATCACCGCATCAAAGCATCAAGAGAAATATAAACAAGGAGGAGAGCAGTTGCTTTCTGCCCAATGTTCAGGCCTGCCATCAGAGCCTCGGGTGTGAGCATTTGCAGGCTTGAGCCAAACTGTTCAGCCGGGCCCAACGCGGCAGCTGTGAAAGCACGTTCCCCTCACGGCAGCCACAGCACCCACCCGTGTGGGACTACCACCGCAATTACAGTAATTCTGCTCAACTCACTGCTCACCCAGGGCAAAAGCCTCAGACTCATCTCCCCAAGCTCTCCCGATCACAAACGCCACTTTCTAGGTTGCGACAGAACTTTTCCATTTAAGCCCCAGCACTAGGGAGCAGCCTGGTTTAGCTCCAGGAGCAGGCATTCGACAGCAATCACTACTCAAAGTATTTGTATCGCCTGCCACAATGCACGGAAACCTTCAGCGATCCTTCAACAAGCAGCATTAACTGCTGGCAACAAACCTAGAAGTGCTTTTCCTAAAAACAACCCTCTCTTTAAGTGCACAAACATTACCCACGCCCTTGGCAGAGAGGTACTTTTGCCTATGGAACACGAGGACGATGACAGAACTCCTTGGACACATACATCCAGAATACAATTTGGGGTTTGCCATCGCAGTGCCCCCAGGCCCCCTGAGCCCCGCAGAACTTTCTGCAGATGCTGGAGTTCACACATCCAGCAGCACACAGAGCTCCCCGAGACACACGAGAACTTGCTGAACAGGACGTAATTAAGACTGAAGCATTCCAGAACAGCCCAAGTGAACTTCAAAAAAGAAAGAAGAAAGAAAAAAAAAACAAACCAAGACACGGGCTACCAGGAGAGTCTAAAATGTCTCGCTGAAGAATTAAAGAACTATAAACTGTATTTGTCCTGAGTTACAAAGAGCATTTCACAGCAACTTGTGTATCAGCCTTCCATATATTCCAGCGCTTCCACACAAGGGATTAACACGGTTCAATCACAAGACCTCACCTAGACATTCCCTGACAGTTCTTATTCGATACTGTTTCTTTCTCGCTTGTTTCATTTATTTGCAGGCTGAGAAGAAAAGGTTTCCATAAAAAACCCCTAAAGGACCGAAGCATCTGTAAAGTGTTGCCAAATGCAGATTGAGCAAGACGAAAAAACCCACAGAATTTATCAGTTCAATTATAGTAATATTTTTTTTCAGTCTATGAAAACACAGCAGGCACAGCATGATTAACTTATCACTATCCCTTCCACAAGATTCATTAATCTCTGAAAGCAGAAATTCAAGTGCAACAGACTTCGTGTTCTTCTGAAACCACTCTTTCAGGGATTGAAACAGTCGGAACACCGGGAGAGGCCGGTCTAGGCACACATGCTCTTGCGCACACACGTGTGTATTTACAACGGGCACACACTGGCTGGAAACGAGACATTTTGGTGTGTTTTATTATCTACAAACCCATCACAATTGAAGAAAAAGGCAGGCCAGAGAGACTACAAGACACAGACAAGTCGCAGTGACTGCCAGGCTGCCGGGCATTTAGGCATACGAGCAACCCCGCAACTTCAATTATTACCGGCAAGTCGTTTGGGGTTTAAAGGAAAAATGCTTGAAACAGTTTAAGTCAAATACCTTAAAACCTCGGTCACAGGTTGGGATGTAAAAAAAAGCACAAAGTATTAATTGGAGGGTACAATTAGATGGTCTTCAAGATCCTTTCCAACCCAAATCATTCTATGACTAAGAAGCTATTAAGGAGTTTTTATTCCGTAATGTGTCACACACAGGGACACAGTGAAAAAGCCTGTATAGGGCTATTAGCTGTGGGTAATCTTAAGGTTTAAGGAGTAGACAGAAACCTCAACTACCCTTCCAAGAAGGCACCTTCAGCTTTAAAGTGAAGGAGGGTAGATTTAGATTCTGTATCGGGAAGAAATTCCTTCCTTTGACGATAGCGAGGCCCTCGCACAGGCTGCCGAGAGAAGCTGCGGCTGCCCCATTCCTGGAAGTGTCCAAGGCCAGGCTGGACGGAGCTTGGAGCAACCTGGGATAGTGGAAGGTATCCCTGCCCATGGCAGGAGATGGAACAAGACGGGCTTTAAGGTCCCTTCCTACCCGAACCATTCCAAGATTGTAAAATGAGCAGGACGGTCGGTGCTTCCCATACCTGGCCCTTCTCCTTCCCTACCCGCACCCCACTCACCTGTCCACCCCATCACCCAAACCGAGGCACTAAAAACGAAGATGATAGAGGAAAAGAAGGGAAACCCGACTCAAAAAACGTCTCTTTCCAACCGCTATTTATAGCCGGGACGGTACTTGGCGTACGGGTCCCGCCCGGTAACTTCGACTGCAGGAGGCCCAACCCACCCCCGCCAGGAACCGCGGCAGGGCGGGCGGTCCCCCAGGCCCCCCCTCCGGCGGGGCGGTAGGGGCGGGGGGGTGTGGGGGGGGGGAACGCCGTAGAGCCCCACCCGAGCCACCCCCGCGGCCTTACCTGTGCTATCGCTGGCGGAGAAGCCCGGCGAGTTGAGCTTGGCTCGCTTGGGGTTGGGCGGCCCGTCGAGTAAGTTCTCCGCCATGGTGGCCGGAGCGGCGGAGCCGGTGATCGTTGTCGGGGGGTGCTCGGGGGGGGCCGAGCTCGCTGTCCCCGCTCCTCCGCCGCACGGGAACCCAACAGCGCCGCTCAGTGCCCGGCCGGCCGCCCCCGCTCCCCCATGCCGGGCCGCCGCAGGCCGCAGGGAGGAGGGCTCGGGGCGGGGAGCGAAGGGCCCAGCGCCCCCTCCCTGCCGGCCGCGCTCCTCCCGGGCGCTCCCCCCGCCGCGGTGCCCGGATGGCGGCTCAGGCCGTCACTCGGGGCGCATTCCGCCCCCCCACACGCTCCCCTCGCCTCGCCCCGTCCCCTCCCCTCCGCGGCGGCGGCTTCGCCCCGGCCCCCGCCCGCCGCCCGCCCGCGGCCGAGGTAGGGGAGGGAGGAGGGGGGGGGNATCACCAAAAAGCGGAAAAACGCGCCGACCCCCCAAAAACGCCCCAAAACAATGAGCGCGGCGCGGCGGCGGCGGCGGCTCCCGGTGGCGGCGGCGGCGGTCGGTTGGCTCCGGGCGGCTGCGCCCCGCTGGCTCGAGCCCCCTGTGCGCGTCGGCGGCGCTCCCCGGCCCGCTCCGCCCGCGCCGCGCTCCGGCTCCGCGACAAGATGGCGGCTGTTGATTCCTCAATTAAAAAAAAAAGTTTTTTTTTCTCTTCTCTTTTCCAGAGCCCTCGGGGGCGGGGCGGGGGGGGGGACTGCGCGCTGCGTCACCGCGCTCGCGGCGCGGCCCCGCCCTGCCGGAAAGGCGCGCGCGGCGCCGGAAGCGCCCGGCGCCGTCCTCAGTTGCTCCGCTGAGGGGCTCGGGGCCGGTGGGGGAGTCGGGCGGCGACTCCGCCCCACACACCGTGCCTGAAGTGCTGTGCGCTCGCTTTCCGCCGCCGTGCCCCGCCTCGGTGCGCTCCGCCACTGCCTCGGTCTGCCCTGTTTGCTTCAGTCGGGGCTCCCCCCGCAGCACCCCGTCACAGCGTCCCCTCTCCGTCTGCCCTCAGGTGCCTCCTCCCGTTGCCCCCTCATAGTCTCCCTTCAGTCCCCTCAGAGTACATTTCTCCCCCTCCCAAGTCCTCGCCACGGTCTTTCCTGTTTGCTCCTCTCGGAGCTCCTCCTCAGGACCCCAGAGCTGTCCCCTCACGGTGTTCCGGCTCCCCTCAGATGTCTGTTCCCCCTCACAGCGTCCCCCGCAGTCTCCCCTCAGTCCCACCAGAGATGTCTTAGTGCTCCCCTCACAGCGACCCCTCCAAGTCTCCCCACAGTTCCCTTTTCTCCTCAGTCCCCTCGTAGTGACCCCCATGATCTCCCCTCGCAGTCCCACCATGGATGGCTCATTGGCCCTGCAGAGTCTCCCCTCAGTCTCTCAGAGCCCTTGCTTCAGTCATTCGGCAGTCTCCCCCCACAGTCCCCTCTCTGACTCCCCTCAGATGTTGCAGTGCCCCCCTCACCATGCCCCCTCCACGTCTCCCCATGATCCCCCCTTCCCTTCTCAGTCCTTTCAGAGTCACCCCCACAATCTCCCCTTTCAGTCCCACCACGGATGGCTCAATGCCCCCTCATGGGCTTTCCTCCCTTCATACTCCTCAGAACCCCCAGCCCCATCTCTCCTCTCAATTCCACCATGGATGTCCCCTCTCAGTCTCTCCCAGTGTCATCCTCAGTTTTCCTCACAGTTACATTTCCAGTCTGCCTTGTCAGTCTCACCATGGATGTCCCCTCTCAATGCCCCCTTCACAGCCATCCCCCTCACAGTCTCCCTTCTCAGTTTCCCCTCAGTCACCTCTCAACTTCCCCTCTCAGTCCCACAGAGATGATCTCTCTCAATGTCCTCCTCAGAGTGTCCCCTCTCAATTTTTCCTCTCAGTCACCCCCTGCAGTTTCCCCTCTCAGTCCCACTGTGGACATTACTCTCAATGTCCCCCTCACAACATCCCCTCCCATGCTCCCCCTCAGTGCCCCCATTTTTTTCCCCCATGCCCTCAGAGCAGCCACACATGAGGGCAAATGTCCCATCGGAGCTGACCCATTCTCAGGCACCAACATCAAACCCAGCCTTGCTTTACAAACACTTTCTGCTCTGTCTAGACAGACTTCCCCAGCCCAAAACAGGTTTAGAAGACTGGAGCTCATATAGTTCCATGGATTTCCATACTGGTTCCCAACCTGAGAATCAGGTCCTATGAGCCCTGGTGACGTGTGTGGCAGCAGAGCTCCTTGTACCCAAACTGGTTGCTTGGGGCTGTTTTTGTCACCTTCATGTTGGAATGTCCTCCAAGGGCAGCCACAATGGAGGAGTGGCTGGAGATCTGGACAGGATTCTGAGGATGTGTTGATGAGCTCCATAAGCTGAAATGGATTCAACAGCAATAATTTATTGGTTTAAAGGAGATCTATAATGACAGATTCCTTTGCAAAGAATAAGTCTGCCTTTTGTTTACTGCAAAACTCGAATTCATTACATTTACTTCTACATTTACATGAATTTCATTACATTTACTTGCAAATTCTGTATTTATTTACATGGTGCCTGTCCTTGGTCTGGCTGTAATCACGTGGAGGTCTGTCAGACCTCTGCTTCTATCACTGTGTTACTCATTAGTTACACAAGTAAGGGCTCTCTGGTTGTGCCTGCTTTAATTTCCTTCCAAAGCAGTGAGTTTGCGTCTGTTTCAGTGTGGGACAGGTTCAGTGTCTCACAGTGCCTCTAGATGTAAAAGCAGCAGCTCTTACCCAGCAGCATTTTACTGTGGTATTAAGAATTTATCCCAGTTTAGGTTAAAGGAAAATGTTTTGCTGTTGGAGGTGAGGAGTGGGAGTCAGGTCAGACTCTAAGGCACAGCTGAGGACAGCAGTCTTTTTCTGGCTCCTGCTTGAACTTTTTAACAAGTTTGGTTGATGTATTTTGAATTGCATCCTGGATCACTGTGCTTACCTTGGTCATTACGGCCTGGGCAACCTGAGCTAGTGGAAGGTGTCCCTGCCCATGGCAGGAAGGTGGAATGAGCTGGTGTTTAAAATCCCTCAAACCCAAACGAGTCTGTACTTCTACAATGACATCACTTATGGATACGCAGGAGTGGCTGACACCAGGAGCTCTCCATAGCACTTTGCTCCCCTCATGACCCCTTTCCCTGCTGCTGCATGAGCTCTGCAGCTCTGGGATAAAGCCAGGATGGAGTTTACCACTGGGGACAGATCCTGAGCAGTCCCACAGCTACTGCCCCTCTCCAGAGGATGTTCATGCTGCCTGGTGCTGGGTGACACACCCGTGTTACACCAGTACTGCAGGCCTGAGCACACAGCCGCTGAGGCAGGGGCCCTGACAGCCCCAGTGCTGTGACAGGAGCTGCTGTGTCAGTGCCTCTGAGGGAAATGCCATGTACCCACTGTTGGGAGAAAGGCAGAGGATGTATGGAGGCCATGATTAGCTGGGAGAGCTCCTCTGTCTTTACAGCAAGTGCCAGGCTTGCCACGTTGGTGAAGTCAGAGTGGGGCTGCAAGTCCCAGGAGCAGAGTGGGAGGGAAAGGAGGTGCTTTGGAGGGAGGGAATCCTTTACCCCAGGCAGTAGGGGCAGAGGAGGAGGATCCTACTTCCACTGTGTCCTGCAGCTTCTCCGTGCTGCAATGTCCCCAGCTGCCCCTACCATGGGATCAGAACAGCAATGATAGGTTAATGATAGGAGGGAGAGGAAGACCTTGGCTACCCCTTAGGAAGAGGGCTATGATTAAATATCCTGAGGGCCTAAGAGTAGCCTGGGTACCACAGCCCTTTGGATCAGTATTGCAAGACTTAGATGGCCTCAGCCACTAGTACACTAGTAATGCCAAACATGGAACAAGCTCAAACAGAGTAGGAGGATTTAATGAAGAGAAACCCTTTGACAGACACTATAAACCAAATACATCAATATTACCAGTCTGGACCCCAGTGCATGGCTCCCTGCTCCCCCACTGATGGGTAAGCTCTTGAAAGGATTCCTGAGACCTTCGTTTGTGGTGTTCAGGAGGGAGGGTGAAGCAGGTGCTTAATGGATAACTCCTTTATTCAGGGACTAGTTCCAAGAGAAATTGCATAATAAAATCTGCACTGCTGCAGCCCATCGCCAGACTTCCTGTCTCCAGAACTAAGCTGCTTAAAGACACAGTTCCTGAGGTCCTACCTCCCTTCCCCACCCAAAACATGGAAGTATCATTTCTATAGCTTGTGACCTCAAAACCTTACAGCCAAACAATTAGCAGTGTTTGAATAACTTCTGAGGAGCTCTGCCCTGTAACTTGTAGTCACTGTGGCACCATCAGAGGAGTTCTCATTGGGAATGGGAGTCTGTTTTTCCTGGTGATGTTATGTCCCAGAACATGGTGGCCTTACCATTCCCATGTGCTGCCAAAGCTCTTCCAGGATAGAAGAAAAGCCCAGGGCCTGCTGCCTCCACTCCTCCCGGCTGCTGCAGAAGGTGCTGCCTATTCTTTCTCTAGGCACGTCTGGTTACACAAACCCTGCACTCATGGGATTGTGGAGCAATTTTATGTGAAATAACTGCTGTTTCTGGCTTCTGATTTTCATTGTGTGTGTGAATTCTGTGGTGTTCAGGAAGTGGTGGTAACCCAGGGACCGCAATCACAGCACTGTTTTGTGTTTAGCTGCGTGTCTGTGAACTTCTGCAAACTCTTGGCTCCTTGGGCTACAGAGCTTGACACACGTCTCAAAGGGTCTCCTTGCTTCATTTCATGCAGAAAGAGTATTTGCAGGTGGCTAAACCTGTTCTGTGGGCGATACCCCACAAGCACCAATCAGATCTGATTCTGCTCTCCTTTTCATTAAGTATTCATTAATGTAAAGCCATTTCCTACCTACTTGTTGAATAGAGTCTCTTGGGGACTGGATGCAGACTTGGACTTTTCAGCAAATTGCTCAGAATCTTGCCCATCATCTGTCAGGACCATCTAACTCTGATGTGGAGGAATCCCCCAAGTAATGGGTAAGGCTATCTCACATATCTCACAAAAGCAAGAGCAAGGGGGCAGGAAAAACAGTGTCTTCTGTCATCAGCATAATTGAGTCTGTCACTCTGAGGGGTCCTTCTTTCTTAAGTCCCAAATGTGAAGCCTGTAACTTTGCCATGCCTGACAAACTATTAAGAAAAACCTGTATAAATCTTTGTGCTCTCACTCAAGGTTGTTGCTCGACGAATCTCAGACTTTGTCTGAGACACAACAGTCCATTTGCTTTATTTTTAAAGTAAACTGCCACAAAAAATGTCTGTCTTTGGGCTCTGCTACATTATGGTTTCTCATCTCTCTGACACCAGTTTGCAACCTGCCCCACAGTCAGTTTGAAATCATATTTCTACCCATAAAATAGTAATCTGGGTAATCTGGGCAAATTTCATGTCTGCCAGCTCCCTTTTAGCAGTGGCAATTAGTGGTTTATGGGCGGTTTCAGCCAACATGGGCCAAAAAAAAGACACAGAACATTTTTTCCGCTGCAGATTATGGTGAAAGATCTCTTCCCTGAGCACAGAGAAAGGTGGGATGCCCATAGATACACTCTGGCCACTTGAGATGGGAAGATTTCAGTGTTTCCCCCCTCCCTGCCTTGTCCCCTGGTTAAAGATGTGGCCTTCCCATTACACCACCAGTAGGAGAGGGCATTCACAAGCTCTTCAGGTGCTGCCGCTCACAGCATGGTGTGAGCTGAATGCCAGATGCTCAGTCTGAGCCTGGGTGCTGAGCTGTGAGCTCAGGAGTGAGCACTGCTCACACTCCCCTCTGCCAAATTCACAGAGGCTCCAGCTCTTGCCTGAACCTTTATCTTGGAGCAAGACCTCATCCTTCCCACCAGGGCTCGTGCTTCCCTCCATTCGTTCTGCTCCCTCCACACAGCTCAGAGCAGTGGCCTGTCAGCATCTTCAAACCAGAGGGGTTGGATGATTCTTCATCCCTTGAAAGGTGTCTCCAGATTTCTCCCATGTCATTTCTGTCCTCTGCTCATTCCATGATGGCATCACAGAGACAAGGTTTTCCAGTACCTATAGGGAACTGAAAGGAAGGATGGTTTACAAGAGCATGTAGTGACAGGACAAGGGGGAATGGGTTCAAATTGAGAGTAGTTTTAACTTAGATATCAGGAAAAAAATCTCCCCTATGAGGGTGGGAAAGCCCTGGCACAGAGGGTTCAGAGAAGCTGTGGCTGTCCCTGAATTCCTGTAAGTGTCCAAGGCTTGGCTGGATGGGGCTTGGAGCAGCCTGGTCTGGTGGAAGGTGTCCCTGCCCATGGCAGAGGGGTAGAAGGAAAGAGCATTTAAGGTATCTTCCATACAACACCATCCTATGATTCTGTAATCAAGTGCTCAGCACTACTGACCACACTAAGCATTGCTCCTTTCAATTCAGTGCCATCCAAGCATTTATTAACCTACTTGGACACACTGCATATATCTTTTGTGGAAGTAATTCATTGCTATAAATCTTATAGTTCTTTTTTATATATAGCTTGCTTTTTTTTCCTTGCTTTTTTTTTCCTTTTATTTTTTTTTTTCCCTAATCAGTAGCAATGCTCCCAGCAAGGCAGTGACTTCAGGTAAGTGTCTGGGGTCACATTTGGAAATGCTCTCCTTGTGTTCTGGCTGACAGTCCTTATTTTTTGCTGCAGCAAAATCTGGTGTTCCCAAGAAAACTCTGGCCAAGCTCACAGTCTCACCATCATCCTGTTAGTCACCTGTGTGCAAAACTCTGCTGAGCCACTGTCAAGCCAGGCCATGGGGACACTGGCGGCATTTTTTCCTGCTCTGCCATTGTCCTGGTTGGTGGAGGCAGCCACAACAGTGTGGCTCTGCAATTCCTCCTGCTCCATTCAGCCTTGCCTGTCCCTCTGCCTCTTCTTGCTATCAGTCACAGCTTTAGCGCAAGGCTTGGTTATCTCAAGGAGCTTCATTCCTGGGAAACTCTGTACCTTCTCAGTGTTAATCCTGGCTTCCACACTAGCCTTTAAGCTTTTTGCTGTGGATTGAACTCATCACAACTCTTGAAAAACTTTATTTTTCATCAGAAACTCTGCTGAACTCCCATAGTCATCCAGAGAGCAATCCCAAGCTCTTCTGCAGTGTCAGCCTCTCTCTCTCCCTCTCTCCTGAGTTAAAAGCCAGCTGTGAAATGTTTTGGATTTAGGTGGCAGACAGGTCCCTCACCCTCTGCATTAGCCTCCAAGAGTTAACTGTGCCCAAGTTCTTGGAGAATAGTACAGACTCAGGTGGCTGCCCTGTCCTTGCTCTGACACTGCCACGTGCAGTCACAGAATCATGGAATGGTTTGGGTGGGAAGAGACCTTAGAGCCCCTTTGTTCCAGCCCCGTACCGTGGGCAGGGACACTTTCCACCAGACCAGGCTGCTCCAAACCCCATCCAGACTGGCTTTGGACACCTCTGGGGATGGGGCAGCCGCAGCTTCTCTGGGCAATCTGTGCCAGGTCCTCCTCACCCTCACAGGGAAGAACTTCCTCCTGCGGACTGTGCACTCCTCCCATAGAGGAAAGGGCCCCCAGCGGCGACCAGGAAGCCTTTCTGGGCTGGGTCTTGGAAAACTGTCCTGCTGAACCTGTTCCAATTTGTATGAAATTCTTCAATATTCATCAGGACAGGGAGGGCATTGAGCAGGGTTGACAAGGGGAATATATTAACTGCCTGTTTGTGCCTCCAGCCTTGCTATTCCCCTACCACTAGAGGTTTTTTGGTTTTTGTTTTTCCTTGTTTTGTGTAAAAAAGAGCAAATTCTACAGGAGCTTGAAGTTCAATGCTCACTGGTTTGGGACCAGTAGAAAGTGGGACTGGCCCAGCCCCACATTGCCCCCTAAGTTGGATAATGATGACTCTTTTCACCCTTTTTCTAGCAGATAAGGTGTTTGTGGAAATCTTCACCTTCTGCAGGTAACTCTGGTGTGTTCAGGGCTTCAGTAAGTACTCAGAAAACCCCTCAAAGTTTCAGCTTTCAGAATTCAGAAAGCACTGAAACCTTCTGATTTATTAATTGACAGTGAAAACACCTAATTTCCCTGCTTTTAAAACTTTAAAAACAGCTTTTAACTCCAAAACTGGGAAATTAAAGGGAGTAAGAGAGGACAAAATGACTAAAACACATCAATCCACTCACCTTCTCCTTCAGCAATTTTTTTCACATTTGATTCAAACCAAATTCTTTATTTTTTCTTGTTATGGCAACAACCAGTTTAAAGGCTTCACTATTTCTCCAGCCCTGTGGTTCTCTCAGGCAGCTCCTTGGGCAGCCTGGCTCTCATGCATCCCAGCTGGATGCATCTTGCATCCCTCCTGTTGCCTTGTTTTGGCTGCCTGAATCATACCTGGCACTTCTTGGGTGCCCAGCACAGAGCCAAACCCAAAACCTTTCCTGGTGACTCAGTCCAGAGTTTCTCCCAAACACGAGGGCTTTAGCTGGAAAACCCTTTTTCAGCATTAATCACCTTTCACTGTAAGTTCGCACGAGCTCCTAAATAATGGGGTCAGGTGAAAGTAGAACTAATTATTTTTATTATGGCTTCTAGCTCATAGAAATATGGAATGACAGACTGGTTTGGAAGGGACTTTGAAGAGCATCCCATTCCACCCCCTGCCATGGGCAGGGACACCTTCCACTCTCCCAGGCTGCTCCAAGCTTTGTCCAACCTGGCCTTGAACACTGCCAGGGAAGGGGCAGTCACAGCTTCTCTGGCACCCTGTTCAGATTGAGGGGGTCACAGCAGGGCAGCAAAGTGACTGAGGTGATGGTGATAACCAGCACAGGACAAAATTGGATTGTTTCCTCTGGAAAACCTGTGAGAGAATGATTCCAAGGAGGCGCTCTACTCTGTTGCTTTTAAGGTTATCAAAGAAATGATCACCCACCACCAACGCTTCCCCCCGCCCCCAGCTGTGGTGTCCCATTCTGTGACATTAATGACAAGAACCTCTTTGCACAGGACGTAATTTGCCTGGGGAAATTAGTTTCAAAAAGGATCAGAAAGTTAAATACTATTGCAGAGCTTAAATGAAGGCAAATAATTTTATAGCCAAAATTATATTTTTCTATGACAAATTATGTAGAAGGCAATAATAATAAAATGTGATGCTCTAGGGAATAAAACCATCCCTGTAAAGGTCAGGAAACTCTTTTAACATACCTGCACATCAGTCCAGATGCATTTTAATTTGTTTGGGTTTTGTGTCCTTGGTTGGACTTGATATTCTTGCCTGAGTTCCTCAAGGCCAAACACTTCATTGGGTGGACAGAGAAGCCTTCCCCAGCTCTCTCAGGATATTGCTCCATCCTTTGAAGCATGAGGCAGATGATTTCTGTTACACTCCTGTCCCATTCCTGCAAGACTTGACACACTGCAAGGTCTTGGTGGCATCTCACCCTGTGACCTGTGACTCCACGATTTTGCTGTTACAAGGCTGTCTCTAATTATATCAGGATTAACTTTTCACCCCAAGCTGTCCACCTTGGGCACGATGGTTAATTCCATTAATGGTTCATTCCTGCGGAGGAGTTTCATGGCTTGGCTGTCGATGTGCTCTGTGCTTCTGTCTTAGATCAGCTGAGGTCGCTTGTCTTCCTGTCTTAAGCCAGCAGCACATTAGGTGTTAAGATGAGAAATTCCTTTTTTTCCTGCTTTTCTTCCACCCTCTATCAGCTTATCCCAGCCTTGTGCTAACCAGGGAAGTGGAGCCAGATCAGCTCTCAATCCCCCAGCCTGGAGGTCCCATCATTGTCATCCTGGAGCAGGGCCTGACAAACTACTGCACCTCATCTCAATCCCCAGCTCCTCCACATCCAGTGTATGCTCACATCTGTTAAATCAGCCCATTTGGCCCCTCTGCCAGGTCAGCTCCACTCCCCATGGCCCAAGCCCACTTCTTCCTGCTTGTCCAAAGGCTTCTCAGCTGCATTCCAGGTTCCTCTGTCATCCACACAAGATGACACTTGGTGCTCGTTTAGGGCAATTTACCAGGCTCTTTTGAATATGAGAGCTCTGAAATTTATTTCACACTTGTGAAACAAACCCAGACCCAACTTTTTCACAACGGCTGTCAGTGATGTTCACAGCATCCTGAAAGGCTCGGGTGGAATTTGCTCATGAGCTTTGTAGAATTATCCTCTGGGAGAGAGCAAATATGGGAGAATTTGAGCTAGGAAAGACAATTTACATTATTGAAGTGTTAAAACATGACAGAGCTGTTACCTCAAATCTGTATTATAAAAGAACCCAAAGATTTGATAAAATACAGGGCTTTCATAGAATCACAGACTGGTTGGGGTTGGAAGGGACCTTAAATCTCATTTTGTTCCGCTCCCTGCCATGGGCAGGGATACTTCCCACTACCCCAGGGTGCTCCAAGTCCTGTCCAACCTGGCCTTGGACATTTCCAGGGATCCAGGGGCAGCCACGGCTTCTCTGGGCACCCTGTGCCTGGGCCTGACCAGCTTCACAGGGAAGAATTTCTTCCCAATATTCCCCTGGCAGTGGGAAGCCTTGTCCTGTCACTCCAGGCCCTCGTCTAAAGTCCCTCTCCAGCTCTCCTGGAGCCTCTTTAGGCACTGGAAAGTGCATAATACAGATCATAACACAAAACAGAGGTACCTGAGACACCTTCAAAGAAGTACCCAGTAATTACTGCAGTCATTGCATGATCCTGGTCTCCCCCCAGCCTTTGATCAGAGATGTCTAGAATGATCTCTGCTGCTTCCAGAGCAAAGGCAGCTCAATCTCCTCCTTCCCCAGCTCTCCTGGAGGAAGCAGTGACCCTCTGCACTCCCACACCAGTGAGAGTTCTCACCACAACACTGGTACATCATGGCTTTGGTTATGACTTTGCACCACTGGCTGAGCCCAAACTAACAAAAAACATCCCCAAACTGTCTGGCTTTGTATTTTCCTGGAGTTTAAGTCCAGTTGAAGTAATTAGATAATCTTTTCTGCATTTTTGGATGTCACAAGTCACTGCATTTCAGGTGAACATTGAGCCCTGTCACTCAGGCCACATGAAAACCCAGCAACCCTGGGGAGAGCAGAGCTGCTGTGGGCTGACATAGGAAGTGACGAGGTGCCAGCATGGGCCTGGCACTGCCAGGGAGAATTTGACAGTTCACAGCAGCAGCCTGGTGCTCCAGCCCAATGAAAGGAGGATGATCCAGGCACCCTCAGCCCTCTCCATCCCCAGCTGGCACAGGGCACTGAGCTTTCAGACCGGATGATCACAAAGGACTTGGACAAGGCAAGAAATCCTCACGGCTTCACCTCCCAGGTCCCTGCTTGCAGGCTGAGCCCTTCCTCCAGTCTCTGCATTAAAGCTGTGTGGTTGAAATGAGCTAATTTTGCTCGAAAGGCTGCAAGCCCCGGTGCAGGCACCGCTCCCCTCGCACGCTGTCGCAGTATGCAGCCACCGTTCCTGCAAGAGAGCTGCGGCTCATTTCAAGGTTGAATTTGTCCAGCTTCAGTCCCTGGGATATTTACATCTCTGGAAATTATCTGGGGATGCTGCAGTCCGTTATAGCAGAGCTGTTGCTTCCCTCGGTCAGATCTCTGGGCAAGTCCTTGGATTTTAACACCGCCATGTCCCCACATACACCCTTCTCTGTACCCTGTATTTTGTTTTAAGACTAAGGAGAACATATTGCAAGGACCGGATACTCTTTTTAAATGACAAGAGATGAGAATCTTATGCACTTGCATGACCCCAATGGTTTAAAAAACTCCTTTAACTAAACCATTGTCCAGATTTTACCAAAGACATGTGAGGCTGATGTACGTGAGGGCCACTGACACCCAGCACGGAACACATGAGCCCTGAAGTACCTAAAATTATCTCATGCTGGCTTTTGAAGATAAGTCTCCACCCTCCATTCAGAATGACAACTTTTGGCAACAACAAGAAAACAGAAATGACAGATGGTAACAAAATCTGGTACACAAACATGACAGTAGGCAATATAATGAACATTTCACCCACTCCTTCATTTATGCTAATCGGTGCTTTTGAGCAACCGGAATTGTTCTGCCAGACAGCCACGGATCTGAAGCACAGCACAGCAAATCTCAGAGGGCCACCAACCTGAAACCAGGGTAAAACCCCACCAGGCGACTCACTGTGAATGAAATTAAAGTATCACTGAACTCCAACCCTGACAAAATCCCCCCACTCCTAAAAAGCACACCGACCTCTCCTCCTGCCCTGAAAACACCACATCCACAAAACAGAGGCAGTTTGGTTTTCCTGCTACCTAAAGCTTCACCAAAATTCAGAGGAACCAGCAGAAATGAGAAGTAGCAGCCTCGCAGTCAATGTGAATTGTGCTAAATAAACGTATTTGTAACGGCAACAAAAATTTCCTTCAAAAAGCGTTTTTCTCCCAGACTCAGCTCTCTGGGATGGACTCCGTCCCTGCGGGAAAACAGTTACTCTTCCCTTTGAAGCCCACTTATCTCATGCTGACATTCTCAGAGGAAGGTGCTATGTCACCCACAAACCTCCTTTTATTTCCTATAAAAATGTAAATCAGCCTATTTTTTCCCCCCAACAACCTTATGTAATGAGCAGTGTCCTCGCTCAATCATTTTGAAGACGTGCTTTAGCCTCTATTTTATGCAGGAATCTGTAAGAATGAAACCATTCCTCCCTTTCCTTCCCTGATATTTCAGTGCTTGCTCCTTTGCCTGCTGCTGCAAAGCTCTGTGGCCATTCCTGGCGTGGGCAGGACCTAAAAACCTCTCAGAGGGCAACAGCAACACCCTTATATTTTCTCAAGTTATAAAATAAGTTTTCCCACAAGTAAATTGCCAGTGCTTTCAGGAAAAGAGCGGCAACCTTGAGCACTTGCCCTCAGAGCCAGCTGGGATGTGTAATTGCACAAATCTCTGTATATTTGTAATTATAAATGAGGCTGGTCCTCCATGACCAAAATTTCAAGACACTGCCCTTTACAGGACCCAATTTTCCTTTGCTTCCAGCACTGTCATACATTACCCACAGCAGATGAAATGCACTCTTCTGGGGGCAAAATCACAGTGAAAACACAGGAAAAATAGGGAATTTTGGTCAAAACATTTCAGTTGCTTTTGAGGGCAGAAAACCCCATGGTCTTGGTGGGTTTCCAGTAACCAGGTCTGCAAATCCTACACTTGGCTCCAGGAGAAGATAATCTTTGTTTCAGAGATTCATCTCATAGAACCAGAAATCTCCCACTGTCCTCCTGAAGATCCACGCAGACTTCTCTGACCTGGGGAAAAATTCACTTCTTCTGCTTTCTGTCTTATTCACTTGCCATTTCCTGCTCTGGATCAAGCATCCCAGCCTGTATAGTTCTTCCTTGGGTGAAAGCTACTCCATTTCTTTAAACATCCTTGAGGCCCACCTCCCCCTCTGGCTTTTTCTGTGCAAAGTCACATATCCATTTTGAGTTAAGGGGATCTCAGCACACAGAGCAGTTGGAGCAGAATCCCACTGTGGATGGAGGCATGGCAGACCAGGGTTTCCTGTTCTCCTCTCTGCTTCAGTCTCAATGATTCCTAAAAATAATGCCCCAACCAACTCCCAGACTTGAAATGCTGGAGAAGCACTGACCAGTAGGGCTGGGGTCTTCCAGAGACCCCCACACTGCAGCCCCTGGGTGCCTTCATAGCCCTTTTTATGGAATCATTTGGGAGGAACCTTAAAGCTCATCTTGCTCCACCTGTGCCATGGCAGGGGCACCTTCGCATCTCTGTGCCTCCTCTGGACTCTCTCCAGCATCCCCACATGCTTCTGATGCTGATGCCCTGCTCTGGAGGCAGCTCTGCAGGTGGGCTCTCACCTGAATCCTGCCCTCACCTGCTGCCCATGCTGTGGATGAGCCCAGGATGATGCTGGCTTTCTGGGCTGCCCCTTCAATGGGGCACTGAATGCCACCTGCTAAAAGATAAGCAAATCCTCTCTTTTTTGGTTGGTGTTTTCTTTGGGATGTTTTGTTTTGTTTTGTTTTTGGGGTGTTTTTTTGGGTTTTTTAATTGTTTTGGGTGGGGGTTTTTTTGGTTTTTTTTTGGGGTTTTTTTTTGGGGTTTTTTTTTGTTTTGTTTTGTTTTGTCTTAGGTCTTTTTCAAGGCTTTACACACACAGGCTTCCCATCCCCTACCACCCATACGCTCCCTTCCCTCTGCCTAATTTCAGAGTAAGGAAGCCACACATGATGTTTTCTCTCCAGGACACGGTGAACTGGCTGGCAGGTTGTCTGATGAGAAGGAATCTGCCCCGGGACACCGTGAAGAGGTGGGATCTTCTGCTTGTTGTTTGTCATGGAAAAGGGAAGACGCCTGCATTCAACTGCTACTGAAACCAGGAATGCCAGCTCGAAACCTGGAGCATCAGCTTGGGAGGATGCTGCTCTGACGGCGCCGTGGCTGAAGGAGGCTCAGCCCCACGTCCTTGGCCACCCAGGTGCGTTCACGGGGTCCCACACCGGGGGTCCCTGGGTGCCCCGGAGCTGCCTGGCTGTGGGGTGTGGGGGGCGCAGGGGGCCGGGATGCGCTGCTGGATGGTCTGGGTTGCTTTGCTGAAGCCTGGGCCAGGACCCCCGGCAGCCTGCAGCTCTGCCGGGGCCGTCCCCAGGTCCCCAGCGGGTTTTGCCCGCTCGCTGGACACGCTCAAAGTTCACGGTGCTATAAATACCCGGGCACAGGGCTGCCAGGGGCCGGCCGGCGCGGGGGGGCTGCCCAGACCCAGCGGGCTTTCGATTAACCCTGTGCGTGCACGAGTCCCCTCTGGGCGCTTTGAAAAAGAGGAATTCTCCAACTCGAATGTGTCTAAAGCCAGAAGAGAGCAGCAAACTCCTTCAGTGGGCTGATTCCTGCTGGGAAGAGCCCCGGGATTGGCGCCGGGACTGGAAGAGCACAGGGCGCTGGAGGAGGTTGCAGTGTTTGGGTGTTTTGTGGCCAGGCACATCCACAGCTGCTGTGTGACCCCCCAGCTTGGGCAGGTCCTTGTGTGTGGGACGCAGTGGTGTGGATCCAGCATGGCTTGGGTACCCCCATAAAGCAGAGGCTGCCTGTGCATCCCACATTCCCAACGGAGCATGGCCTCACGCTACACAGCCCCATGCCCTGCCCCACATGGCCCCACAAGCACAGCCCCAAACCCAGCCCTGTTTGCCCCCTGTGCCCCCCAGCGCGCCCCGTGTCCCCGGCACCATGTGCAGGGCTTTTTTAAAGCGCTAAAACGCATCGGAAAACTTGCAGAGCAACAGAAACGCACTAAATCAGCAAAGGCTCCAACCCCAGCTTGGAGACAACCACAAAACGTGGAGCCGCAGCGGTGCCGGGTCTCCCGAGGCAGAGCACAGCGCGTCACCTGCAGCAGGGTGTGAAGCGGCTCCCTGGGGAACCAAACCGAGGAGACGCCACCCACAGCTGTACAGAGCCCTTTTGTGGTGCCAGACCTTATCTTTTTAACAATTTTCCTCCCACACCTTACCCTGCCGGGCTGAGGGGAGCCAGTCTGTGAGGAAGAGCCTCTTGCCCTTTTCCTGCTCAAACCACGGGCGATGGGAAGCTCGGAGAGAACAGAGGACAAGGCTCAGGAGCAGAGCCCCGCGGGCTGTGTGCCACCCCCGGCTGCTGCTGAGGCTGGGCACAGCTCAGTGCACACATGGCTCAGGGACAGCGGCTCGGGACTCAGCAAGGTCCTGCTGACCGAAGGTGGTCTCCAGCTCCACGGGGCCGGGCTGCCTCAAGCACGGCTGCACATCCCCATGGCCTCGAAGGCATGGGGTGACCCTGTTCCATTCCTTCAGGAATGTCACAGCTCCAAGGGACCCTTGGCCTTGCTCAGGTGACAGTGCCACCAGAACAGCCTCATTTCAGCCTTGGGAATGTCACCTTTCGGGTCCATTCAGGCCAAGCAAAGACACATTCATCACCTCACTCTCCACCATCTCCTGTCCTCCCATCACCACCGCAGCTCCCATGATGCCAACCTCCTTGTTGCAGTTGGATGTTGTGGCTCTTCCTGACGCTCACTCGACCAGGATTTTCAGGCCATCACTCCTGTGGCCAGCGGGGTCCAGCCCCACAGCCATGCCCTGCCCCGTTCCCCACAGTCCCTGTGCTGCTCTGAGATGTGGCTGCCCCAGAGCTGGTGCCCTCAAGCCCCAGGGCCGCTGTGAGCAGCACTGCCCGGCGCAGCACCGGAGTAAAGGAGCCTGGCGGGTGGCACTAGGGGGAGATAAAGGCCGGGACATGCCGGGCCCTGCACCCTTGCCAGCCCCTCCTGTCCCCTTGTCCCCAAGGCCACCCTAGCCCCAGCTGCTGGTGGGGACAAAGGGGAGAACCGCAGCTTTCCACCTATCACAGTCCCGTTGCTTTGTGGGGTCTTTCCTGGCATCTTCAGCCTTTGGGAAGCATCTTTGGCAACGAGGGGCCTTACAGCATTTACACCTTTAAGCAGCAGGTATAAAAGCAAGAGACTGCCTTCTCCCACGTGCAGGTAGCACATGGACACCCCAAAACCCATCCAGAAAGGAGGAGAACAGATACTACTTCCAGAACGGGGGTCAGCAGGGAAGGATGAGTCCTGGTACATGGCCTGGAAGCAGAGTGACCCATGCTGCAAGACCTCAGCTGGAGGCTCAGCCTGTCACATCTGACTTCCCTTTTCTAATGCCCCTAGGTGCACTTGGCATCAGCACAGCTGACAGCCTTTACAGGCCCCCACCACCAGCAAACTGGGCACCTTTGGGGCTAAAAACCATTTCAGGGGACCTCTGAGTCAAGGTACCATCCTGGTATCACACCAGCTCCTCTGTTCCCGTGGATGTTCCCTTCTCCACAGGCTCCCTGGGACCCCTCTCAGCAGAGATGAGATGAGCTCACCAGGCAGAGTTTGGGGGAGCTCCTGGCAGACAAGGAGCTGAACCAGCAGGACCTGTCCCCAGCAGAGCTGTTCATGCCCAGCTGGATCACAGTGGCACCCACAGGTGCAGCTGTGGCTCCTGTGGTGTGAATCAGTGCTGGATGCTGGGGCAGGAACTGTGCAACAGCAGCTCTACAGGCAGGATCCATGTGAGGGGGGCCACTTTCCCCTTGTATTTTCTACGAATTAGAAAGGAAAGTTAAATTATTTCCTCTTTTTCCAGGAAGAAGGATTCAGAGTGTGACTGGCACAGAGTTATCAAAAAACGCTACTAATACGTGTTTGTGCATCACTTGCAATGCCATCAAACCACTGTGCCCTGGGGGCCTGGGCTCACTGGGCACATGCCTGAGCTCCCCCCAAAAAACCCACACAAACTCCACACAAAAAACACCCCAAACCACCAACCTGTTGCAAAGTTGTGTTTTCTCTTCAACTTCCCAGTTTGGTCACAACCACAGCACACAGAGACAATACTTGCCCTGCAGCCACATCTCTGGTTTGCTCATATTTACAATTATTTAGAGCTCCAGCTCCACAGTTTTCAACATTCTCTCTCCTAAACTTCATGACTGCCGGTGCCGGAGGGGACTGGGGCTGGTAACGTGATAGGGAGCTTGGCCTCGGACCAGGAGGCTGGATGCAAGGGTGGAAGGCAGAGGGGAGCCCAGGCTGGCGTGTTATCCAAGCCCCTGCAGGAACAAGGTGTCTTTGGCTTGATGTGAGCTGGCAAGAGCGAGAGGAGGGAAGGAGATCCTTCGTCAGCACTTCGCTATGCACTGTGCTCCCTGCTCTCCGCTGCCCGGACACACGGACTCACCACTGCTCTGCTGGCAGGACAGCTGTTCCCAGGGCTGCTCATCCTGGGTCCTTTCTCCCCCTCAGGCTGGCAAAATTTCATGTTTTGCTTCAGCTTGGTTCCAAACACATGCCCAAAAAGCAGAAACCAACACAACATCACTGCTTTTCCCATGCCACGAGGTGAGCGAGGAGCACACAGCAGCACCTCAAGGGTCACCCCATGTGCCAAGTGTCCACTGACAGAGGTGGCTCCAACATGACTCTGTCATATAGAAGAGCTGACAGTCTGTGCCCAGACCCTGTCACAGCCCCTAAACCCTCAGGAGGCTCTGGCACAAGTCTGGGGTTTGCATTGTCCCTTGCCCAGGTAGATCCATCAGTTTGCAAACCAACTTAGAAGTAAAGGCTCATTTTTTCTGCTATTTTTCAAAAACATTAAATAAGGACAGAAGCATTCCCTGAGACTGCTCAGGGCCCCTGGTGCTGTGACTGCAGCACAGCTTCCCCCCTGTGAAATGCATCATGTGCCACCAAGGAATCCAGTCCAGAATCCTGGGCTGCAAACGGACAGGGATTGGGGTTTGTTTCAATTGTTTCCATGCTGGTTCTCTGCTTTTAACAGATCATTCCTGAGATTGTGCCATTCTGCCACATGTTCTACACACCATTTCCCACCTCCCAGCTTAGACATAGACTTTGAAAAAAGACATTTCACCTCCAGCGTGCCCCTGGCACTAACACAGCCCCTCTGCAGGCAGAGCCAGGCTCTTCCCAAAGGTTCCCTCTCTCAGGCACCTTGTGCCAAGCCCAACATGGTCACTTTGTCATCAAGTGTCAAGTACAAAGCATATGCAGGACAGATGGGTATGAGGTTTATAAGATAATTAAGCATGTTAATGAAGTTCATTTGCATCTAGCTCTTAGATTCCCATAAACTCTGTGAGGCTGGGAAATGAGAAATGCTGCTTGACATCGCAAAGCAACAGAAGTTTAGTTACCAAAAGCAAAGTAGTGATTAATGGATGAGACCCAAATCTGCTGTGGCCAGGCTGAGCACAGCCCTGCAGGGCCCCCTGGCAGAGCCATGACACACAAGGTCCCCCATGCCACTGCAGTGGCCACAGCCATTAATACAAACTGCTGTGGGCTCTGCTGGACTGAAATGTCACAGAACCAGAGAGAACGGGGAAATCATTGCTCCAAACAAATATTTGACCCAGAGATGAAGGAAAAGCTCTTTGGTGTGAATAGGAAGGTCGGTGGCTGATGTGGGAAGCCTGGTGAGAGCACCCTCTCCATGGGCTGCCCCTGAAGCAGGACCAGGGCAGAGTCCTTTGATGAAGTCACAGCAGGGAGAGGCAGATGGGCATTCCCTGGGCAGAGATGGAACCCAGGGCTGTGACCCAGACAGAGCTGGAGCAGCCCCAGGAAAACAGGGGAACAGCTTGGATTGGAGATCCCTGAGAAACCCTCAAGGATACCCCAGGGGAACCAGGGCAGGAGCTGGCAGGTGTGCTCCACACCCACCTCGCACAGTGCTGGAGCTGGGAGGGCACTGGGGTCCTAAAATGTGGCCAAGCCTGGGCCAGAGGCCACCTGCAAGTTCTGACCTCCACAGAAAAGCTGAACTATCACCTCTGGTTAAGCAAGGAGGGCAAAGACCAGGCAGTTTCCAGCCAGACTGGGAGATGGCTCCAGGGGTGCAGCACCTCTCCATTACCCCAAGGTGATGGTGGCTCCTCAGAAGTGGAAACCCTGAGAGTGGCACAGCCAGGCGGTGCAGAACCTGGGAGCACCCGCACACCAACAACCTGTGGGGTCAGGTACCACTCACCTTCCCGGCACCCAGGGCAATCCTGGAGCCTCCTTCTGCCTAAAGAGGAAGCCAGTGGATCCCACAGAGATCCCATTCTGCAGCATGCCTGAGGCGCCAGAGCCCTGGCAGCACCTGTAGATGAGAGACATGGAACAGCCTCCGGGGTGGCCCCCTGTCCCCCACTGTCCAGCTGGGCCAAGCACACCACGGCAGCAGGCCGAGCACCCAAGGCTCACTAGGGACAAACACAGCCCAGACTGTCAGGAACTGCTGTGAAACATCTCCCTGAGAGATCTTTGGGCTTTTCTTGTTACACATCCCCACGTAAACTAACCACACACAGGGTGGGTCTTTCAGTACCCCCAACCCATCGGTGTACGACACGTCCTGACCACGAAACAAACCACAGAGAGAAAAGAAACTTTAACATGGGCTCACCCAGGACAAGACAAACTGAAAACAACAAGACTGGATTCATTTGAAATACCTTGACCAGATTTATTAAAAAATATCCCTTGGCGTTGACAATCACCAGGATCCACAATCAGAACCTGACTGGACAACATTGGAACAGTTTCCACCTACGGGAGAAGGCGAATACCTGGGAACACCCCAGCAAGGCCCACACACCCCTACTGGCATTAACACTGGGCTGGCACTGAGGAGCTCGGGGCAAACGCTGGCTGTGGTGCAGTTACACCACAGGTGTTCCTGTGTGCTCTGATACTTACCTGGTGTGTGGGAAAAAACAAATGTTCAAAATACGGGGGAAAAGAATCAGTTGGGACCCAGAGAAACTGGACGCTGCTTTAATTCCAGCAGCTCTTGCTCTGCTGCAGTTGAGGGAGAGGAGGGAAAGGCAAGCTGGACGGTGTGGCTGGACACATTCAGATGCTCTGGCTGCCTGCTGAGAAGGGTTTGGTGCTGCAGTGGTGGTGGGTCACTGGTGACCGACAGGCAGCAGGATCCAGAGGAAACCTTCTGCCATCTGCCAGGTCAAACCCTGACCGGGGAGGGCTCAGGGCCTCATTAGGGCTTCCATTCCCCAGTGAAACCTGATGAACACACAGTGGGATGCTGACAAGAAACCCCCAGAGAGGTGGGGGGTGTGGGACAGACAGACAGACACGGGGCTTGTTCTTTGGGCCAGATTCCGGTTTTGGAACTATCAAGGTTCCTGCTCTTGCCCAGCCACTGCCACTCAGCCACTCGGTGCTCTGTGGACACTCACTCCAGAAAAACTGCCTCATTCCCCTTTCCAAGCAAATTAAAGGGCTCTGAATAAGGCACTGGAATTCCAGAGTAACCTATCAGTGCTCTCTGCCAAATAGAAAAATAACTATTTAAAATTCATTCCCAGTTTTGGCCAACACAAGCTCCCTGTGGGGAAAAGCTCTGCCCAGCAGTGACCAAAGGTGGCTGCAGAGGTGCTGCCAGTGGCAGCTGCACGGCCCCTTCCCAATGCTTCAGAGCTGCATTAAAATGAGGAAAAATTAGGAAGGAGTTGTCTCCTCAGCCTGGGCACTGGGAACAGGAAGGTCATTCGCTGCCAACCAACATATCAAAGTGCAGCACGGCTGTGTGACAAATCCCTTCCGGGTTTAAGACGCCTCCTAAACACGCACCTAATCAAAAATTAACTTGGTGGCTTCATGATTATCAAAGAAACATTGTTAAAAGCCAGATCCAAACCAAAGGGCTGAAAAACCTATCCCAAACTATTCTTCTTCCAGATCACGTGCCGAGGGCTGCGGCTGAAGCAGGGTTGGAGCAAAAATACGAAAGCAAAAACGATTTGGAGTTGACACAGTGTATTGTGAATTACTTCTCAGCTTTTCTACATCTAAGAGAGCATGAAATGATCGGCCGTACACGGAGCAGTTTAATATACAGTTGATACAGAGCTGCAGATAATACACGTTGGATCTATATACACACAGAGCTCAACATTTCACAGATACAACTTTTTGCCATCTCGGTTTGTCCACGAAGCATTGGCAGAGTATTTACAGCGAGGCTGCTGCGAGGAAGCCCCGTCCCCCGTGCAGCCCCGGGCGAGGCTGCCCCAGCAGGGGTGTAAACAGAGCGCTTCTCTCTTTCTGCAAGGGAGGGAGAAGGTGGGAACACGGCTGCGCTGGGCAGGAGGGAAAGGAACCAGAGATACCAGGAGAAAATAATGTCCAGCTAACCTGGAGACCTCAAAACACTTAAATCTGCCTTTTAAAATATTTCAACTGGAAACTGTTCTCAATTAATTTTCAATTTGTAATTCAATAATGTTTCAATGGCATTTTCAATTAATGCTTTCTATACATCTGTATTTCTATCCATCCCCTCGTGTGCTTGTGCGAGGCAGGGAGTGCTGAAGCCCTGGGTCAGTGCTGAGGGAGCTTCTCAAGGAAGCAGGGGATGCTCAGGGGCTGTGCTGGCTCCCAGGCCTTGGCAAACCAAAGCCAACCCTGGTTTCAGCTGATCACTCCAAAAATAATCTCTCTCCAGCTGTTTGTAATCAGGTACCACCACCCTCGATGCCCAGTGATGGCTTTTACAGGGGGATCACTGTGTGGACAGAGGGTGGGCAGATCCAAGCCCAGCCCTCACCCCCAGCCCCAGCTGGGCGCGGTCGGACACAGCTCCGATTCCCAGCGCAGGCTTTCAGTAACCAGCTGAAATTTGTTCTGTAAGAAAATCACACCAACAGGCAGGAGGGAAGGTGCATTTACCAAGGTGTCCACGGCCTGGCTGCATGGAGCGGGCAGCAGCCCAGGAGCAAACCCCCCCAGAGCTTGGGGACAGCTCGGCTGCTGGAGCTGCTGCTGCCCCGGCACCACCACGGGACCAACCTGGCAGCTCCTGCACTGGGCTGGAGCCAGGGCACACGTGCCAGGCTCCATCCATCCCAGGGCACACTTGCCAGGCCCCATCCATCCCAGGGCACATGTGCCAGGCCCCATCCATCCCAGGGCACATGTGCCAGGCCCCATCCATCCCAGGGCACACGTGCCAGGGGCACATCCAGCTCCTTCCCAATTGACTCCCCTTTCCCATCATTTACATCCTTGCCTTGTCCCCCTCAGTGCTGGAAGGACCAAAGGGTAAGAAAGGAGGAATCCAGCCCCTGCCACCAGCAAAGACAACATTTGTTGCTAAGTTAAGAATACTGCTTCAAGGAAAGAAGGAGCTTTCCTGAGCAATTCAATAACTAAAGCTATCCAGGTGGGATTGGGCAGTGAGTGGCTTTCCTGAGAGCACACAGGGGAGCTTGTTTATCTGTTCCTGGGGAACTGGGTGAGGGTGGCCAAGGTCCTTGTCATCTTTGGACACTGCTGCTGCCTCCCTGCAAACCAGAGACGCACCACTGAGCAAGAAAAATTCCCAAATACTCAGCACAACCTCAGAACTGTGTTTCTTGTCTCAGCAGATGTTGCAGTTGTTAAGGCTCTTGGCTTTAAGGAGTTTATTACTTTGGAAGTTTAAAGCTGTACTTGCAGGAGGGTGTAACAGGTCTCTGTCTCAGCATAGGTATCACGTATGTCTGTATCTCAGCATGGGCTCTGAAACCAGAAGCAATGAAATTGGGGAGAGGGTCACTGGTAACCATGGGCTCCTGAACATCTGCTGGTGCCAGTGGGACCATGCCAGTACCTGTGCAGGGGGCAAACACTGCCTGAGGCAGTGACACAGAGCAGAGCTGGCAGTGCTGCCACCCCCTCCTTTGGACATGACGCAGTGGTACGTCCAGCACTGAAAAGAAACCCTGGGCTCACCTGGAAAAGGCAAAACTTCAGAGTCACTGAAGAGGCATTTCCCCTCGGGCACACCCACAGATGGACCACATGCTGTGTCCTTCCCTGCCCTGAGCTGCATCTGTCAGCACAAATCAATACAAACCAGCTTCAATTCCAAAGATGGAATGCACTAAGGTAGAAACAAGTGAAGACTTGAGTAACTGAGGGAGGAAAATGAGGAAAAACTTGAGAAAGTCACTTTGATTCATCTGAAGGAGGATTTGAGAATTGGTGGCCAAATCAGTGACATGCAAGTGGTGGCACTGGCTTACACCACACATAAAGCAATGAGCTGGATGACAAATTGGTCAGAGCATCACCCATGAGAGTGGGAACTTAACTGGTACCAACTGTTCCCAGCCAGGACCTTCTCTGCAGTTCTTCAATTCAGTGAACGTTGCAATTTCTGGACATTAAAATCCATTATGGGCATGGAGATGCCCCGAGGGCTGGAGCCCCTCTGCTCTGGAGCCAGGCTGGCAGAGCTGGGGGTGCTCACCTGGAGAGGAGAAGGCTCCAGGGACACCTCAGAGCCCCTTGCAGGGCCTAAAGGGGCTCCAGGAGAGCTGGAGAGGGACTGGGGACAAGGCATGGAGGGACAGGACCCAGGGAATGGCTTCCCACTGCCAGAGGGCAGGGATGGATGGGATATTGGGAAGGAATTGTTCCCTGGCAGGGTGGGCAGGCCCTGGCACAGGGTGCCCAGAGCAGCTGTGGCTGCCCCTGGATCCCTGGCAGTGTCCAAGGCCAGGCTGGGCAGGGCTTGGAGCAGCCTGGGACAGTGGAAGGTGTCCCTGCCATGGCAGGAGTGGCACTGGATGGGCTTTAAGATCCCTTCCAACCCAAACCATTCTGGGATTCTGTGCAATTGCTGCAGTGAGCCAGAGAACAGGGAGAGAATGGAGCAAACCACACCAAGGCTGGGACAGGAGGTGCTGACAGTGGCCTGGGGGCCATTCCAGAAGTGTAAAACACCCAGGGCTGCTGCCTGAGACACTGATGTCCAGGGTGGGACAGCTCCTGAGGAGGATGTTGAGCTCCATCCCTGAGCAGGAGTGTGGGAAGACACTGAGCACCTGCCTGAACTCCTGGCCAGCCTCAGGCTGGGCACCTGGCTTAGGGCAGCAAATGCTTAGCAGCTATAATAAGGAACCAGGGAAAAAAAAAAAAGCTTTAAATATCTCCCACCAATCTGTTTTGTCCCAAATGATCTTCTCCCAAGCCAATATTCTCCCAAAGGCAAGGAGCAAACAGTTCTGTACGTGTCGTACACCCAGCCCTTTATCAGGGCTGAGACAGAAGTTCAGTTCACATCAGAAAGACTTGAAAGACATTTTATACAAAATGTTTGGTTTTTTTTTTTTTTTTTTTTTTTTTTTTACTAGTGCTTTACCCAGTGTCTGCAAAGCACCTCAAACCTCCTTCCCATGGCACCCTCAAACTGCACCACCGTCAAGACAAGACACACTCCACCCATTTTATTTTCTCCTTCAACTTCTACAGAGCCTATTGTTTAATTTTAAACAAACTCTTTAAGTAGGACAAAGGCAATAAGCTCCTGCTGCCTGACTTTCACCAATAAAGCTCTCTGTACAGAGTTCAGGGGGTGGTGTTAACGCAGATTTTAATAAAATCAGCCCATTTTAAGGCTCTCTGGTTCCCAGCCTCCAGAAAACAAGAACAGCTTGGGAAGCTGAGGCTCTGCTTCACACTTGAGACACCTTCCTGTACAGCACTCCTGGACACACAGATCAGCCCTTGAAAGCTGCCAGCAGCTCGTTCCACATTCCCTTCTCCTGGTGTCCCCAGCTGCAGAGCTGGAAGCACGTTACCATAAGGAGCCAAAGGATGACACCGAGCCCTGCCTACAGCTCTGAACTGAGACACCTTCACACCATGGCAGCACTCAGCCAGCCCCAGGGCCTGCAGGAACTGCTGAGTAATGGTCACTAATTCCAACTTCTTTATAGGATTTTGCAGAATCCCAGTACCACTGCCTGCACAGTTCAGTCTCAGCAACAGCAAAGATCAATTCAAGTTTTACCCCAGGAAGGACAGCTACAGCCTGCAGAGAGAACTCAAAAGGAGAAAAACATTGGAGTAAATGATTTGGCTGCCCAAATTGGTATTCCACAAGCAGCCAGTAAAGCCTCAGCAGTACTCTGAGACTTCAGCTGGCTTTTCACAGCTGCCTGGGCATTGAGATGGCAGTGCCATGGCACTGGGTCGCCCCTCCACCTCCACCTTGACTGTCCCCACAAGCAAATCATTCTGTTCTTACAGCTAAACCATCCCTCTGGCATTTTCTGGAAAAATCACATCAATGAACAACTGCATTTTAAAATTTAATTCTTAAATTTAACTGCAGGAACGTGCCTCTTCTGTATCTTCTGTCACCACCATGAGGAGGAAGATGCAGCTGTGACCAGGCAAAATGGACCAAGGCATCAAAGCAAACACAATCTCCCCTTTCCCCAGGACACAGGGAGGCACCAGCAGCAACAGCAGCACGCAGAGCCCTGAGCTCAGCTCTGGTGCTGCCGTGCAGTGAGGAAGACACAGGTTCCCAAAGGAGAGGAACAGAGAGGCAACAGCCACCTGTGTGTCCCATCAGGATGGAGAGAACGAGACCACAGCAGGGAAGAAGGGAGAAAAGAGGGTCTTTAAACTTGGCAGAACCTCCCCAAGCCAAGGTGAAGATTTAAACAGCCAAAGGCATTACAGCCAACCTCAGGCACCCTCAGCCTCTTGAGATGTTGTGATGTGAATTAACTGCTCCCTTGCAACACCTTTTGCTGTATTCAGACTGAAAGTTTCAGAAACAGGTCAGAGTCAGCAATTTTAAAATGCCAGAAACCCAAAAAACTTGGCCTTTCACTCAGGAATAAGCTCCTCTTTAGCTAAAGCTGCTATGGGTACAGGGTGCTCCCTTCAATTTTGCTCTGGGCAAAATCCTCCTTTCTGTTTTAGCCCTAGAGTATCCAAATACTTATGTTTTGGGAAAAGTCTTTGGGGAACCCTCCCTTTCCTCCCCTAATTTTGTCACTCCTGGGACACAGCAGAAGCTGTAACAAGGTTGTGTCACTGTCTCACTCTGCTCACTGTGCTCATGTTACCTCCAGCAAAGGGGAATGGCCCCAAATCCTGGGCAGTAACAGCAAATCCATCCTTCCCAAAATCCTGATGCCAGAAGTTACTCAATGGGAATGCCATTTACCTGGCTCTCACTGAGAAATCTCTCACAGGAGCAGCAGGGAGAAAAAGCATGTTGGTGTGTCAGCAGCAGATTAAGACCTCACTGCTGACAGTGTTCTGTGCACTCCTCGTCACTCTGCACCCTGGAGCAGGTGCTGCAAGGGGCAGAAGGCAACGTGGGGCTCACAAATACTCAGCAACCTCCCCAGTCCCCTTCTCTGGATCATTTTTACATCACTGTCATTAAACCACCCTGAAGATTGAAAGCACAGGCAGGCATGGATTGTCTTGTGGAATAAACCCCTGGGGATGCAGCCAACCCCCCACGTTCACTGACAGCACTGCTGGCACCAACAGCACACACAGCACAGGCATTTTAATGGAGTGAACTTTGCCTGTGGCCTCCCACCAGCACACGTGTCAGGAATTCTGCAGCAGAGCCACACAACACTGCTAGAAACGCCTCCAGAGTCATTTTTGTGTCAGGATAAATCTTCAAAAGTCTAAGGGGAGGTGTGAAGGTCCAGCTCACACTGGTTTACAACACAAACAGGTATCTCTTTGCACCTGGAAAACCTCCCCCTCCAAACCATCCATTGAGAACCGAACTTCTTGATTTGGTTACTACACTGCATTGAAGAGATTTAACCCCTGGCAGCCCCAGCTGTGGAACTCTTGCTGCTGTCCTGGCAATGAGCAAAGGGGGCACCACGGGCCACCCAGCAGGAGTCTCTTCCCAATCCAGAGTTAAGGCAGAGTACCATCACTGGCAGTTCCCAGAGCAGACAAGAGCCCTTGATTTCTGAGTCCACCAGTGCTGCTGTCCTCAGTGTCTTTATTTGCTTAGCGCCAACAAAGAGAGGCCCTGGTGGGTTTGGAGTTTGGTATTTGGATGTTCCCATAAATCCAGTGATCCCACAGCCCCACACCACAGCAACATGGGAGCCTTGTGTACTTTACGGGCTGGAGGGGAAGGATCTGCATCCTGAACAATGCAGAGGAAGGTGGTTGGGGCCCGGGGCTCCATTCCAGCACCTTCTCCTTTCGGGTTTAAGCACAGGTTGCCAGCCCCTCGTGGTGCAGGGCTGGGGCTGGTGGAGGTTTGGGTACTGTGCAGTGTCTGAAGGAGCCAGCATGTCCTGACTGAGCTCTGCCCTCGCACACAGCTGAGCAGGGAGAGAGCAAGGATGGCAGGGTCTATAAAACTGGGAGAAAGAAGTGTCAGGGAGAAAGGCTGGAACGACTCTAAGATAACAACATAACACTGGAAGGCATGTAAACAATTCTGGATCATGTTAGCTCCTTGACTGTAGGAAAAGGAATACCGACACACCTCAACTGAACCAAGAACCCTAACAATGGTTTCAGGAACACATTCTTCAGATGCAAGAGGTATTTGCAGAATTACTACCTGAAAGTTGGAAGTGCAACCCACTATGGGGAGGGGGAAGTTGTAACCTAGGGAGTAGGAAGCTGCTGGAAAACTGCCCTCAAAACCACCTCACAATGCTGCTAACAGCATCTGTGGCACAGGGATTTTGGGGTGAGGATCCCCTGGTTTGTTGTGTGCTGGCAGATTGAGCGAGGAAGATGAATTCTGTGCAGCTTTCCTATCAAATGGAATACTGACATGGATAAACAGCAGCTTTGCAGGATCTGTGCAGAGTTCTGTTTAACTGAGATCCAGAAATCCCACAGACACATCTCAGAAAGGCTTCAGAGGCTCCATGCCGACTGTGGAGTGGAGATGGATCTCCACCAGCTGAACGGGAACCCCACAATGGATATCTTTATTACTCATACCCCAAAATCACATGGGGATGAGAGGAAGAATCAATACATTCTGACTTGAGTTCAGATGGAAAGAGCCCCCAGCTTCCATCGGCAGACAGTGCAGCACCGCCTTTCCCCAGCTCTTCCCTGGCTGATCAACTTGTTTTGGGAATAAAAATCCTTTCCTTGATTTGGTGTCAGAGGGAGTTGGCTGAACTAGAACAGTTAAATGGTCAGTATGATCCCCAGCAGGGCATCAAATGCCAGGGAGGAGGTGGTGGAAGCATGCAGAGGGCAGACTGGCACAGCC